TATCTAAATATAGATTATTATATATTAAATAAGTTGGTTTTGTTCTACAATATACTTATCTCAAAAAACAAAAAATTATAATGGCAAATTCTTAAATTTGATCAAGGGTGTTATTGGTTTATTACTGAGTAAAAAAAAAAATTCAAAGGTTTTGAAATCATGGATTACAACAGTGAANACAATGCTTATATCATTGGAAAATTTTGGTCCTTGTTACAAATAGACTTTTGTCAGTACACTCATTTTGTGGATATCTATGATCGTTGATTCATGAGACTTTGCAAATATAAATATATGAGTATATCCAAAGTCCAATCTCTAAGGATAAGATCGGAGTATAACATGCACATCAATCTCCAGTGCTTCAAGAGTTCAAGTGGAGAGTATACAGATTAGAATATAAAATTTCAGTTATATTATAATCCTCACTGCTAATATTTATCGGGAAGAATCTTACATGAAATCATTAAATCTAATAGTTTATGAACACTTTTCACTTTTTCTCTTCCGTGGAAACTTATCCATAAGTTTTGGATTTTGATGTTTCGTTTTCTTAAAGGGTCATTTGTGAATACTTAAACTTAACATCATCATATGATTAATTTATCAAACATACATATAAATAGAGTTAACGAAAGGATAAACACCCCAACATTTTATAATCAAATATATAAATATTATTAAACGAAAAAAGTGTACATAAACTAAGACAAAAAAACATTAGTTTTGCAAGAGTTAGAACCGCCTTACGAGAAGTCAACACTAATCACACTATTAGTTAAATATCAACATGAATATCTAAAAATTGGAACGTAATGTTATGGTTTTGAGTCTGAATGTATTTGTCCATGTCAGATATTCAGAATTTAGATATGTGGTAAAAAATAAAGAAAGAAGAAATCATTGTATGCAGCAACATATAAAGTTCGACTTTGACCACGTGTCGTCATGTCAATGGATAAGTTTGAGTCGTGACAAAAGTCCAGTGGCAAAATGGATAAATCAGAGAATTACAAGTGGCTTGACAAGAGGACATGAGATGGATGAGGATTAATAGCCACGTAGACGAGGAGGTGGCTCTTGGGAAGAGGCAAAGGTCGGTTTACTTCAATAACCGGCCTTTCTCAATTTAGAATAATATCATTTTCAAGTATTTTTTTCTTCTAATGCCCGGTTTTATCACTTTTCCCACGTATGATCAATAAAAAACATAAAACATTAGTGACCACACGGGGACAAAACATCCTACATGGTACTAAAAGTAATATTGTTTAATTGTCTTGCCAATCACAAAAACAATATTATTATTACTTTTTGTGGAAATTAAAAAAGGAACATATATATGTGTGTAAATGTTGGTAATATAATAAAAGACATTGATGTGTCAAAGGTCCAATTAAACACATAATATATTGCTAATGATATCTTGGTTAGATCCTGTTGGTACAACTTGTTGGGAATAAGAAAATGTTTTCTTAAATAATGTACTTATATTATGTGTTCTTGTGGTAGTGTTAGGAGGCAATGCTGGCTATTTGAAAATGTTTGAGGCATAATAATGTTAGCGTAGTTTTATAATGAGAATTGAGATGTATAAGCGTGGTTAGATGAATGAAATTATTTCAAGGATTGTAGAGATATGAATTACTATTATTCAATATCTATGTCTACACTCTAGAGGAATTCTAGAGTAATTGAGGAAATACAGTACGGTTTATATATTTTGAAAAAGTATGTCATGATTCTGGTCTGAAAGATATGCAGACTAAATTTTCAAAACTTTGAGGACTAAGAAGGAAAAAAAAAATACCTTATGGACTAATTTGAATGCCTACGATTTTTGTTCTTTATATATATATATAATCGTTAAAACTGTTGACAATAGTAATAAGCTTAAAACGACATAAGTAAACATGGACGCTTTGTTGTTGGGTTTGTTTACAGTTTATCCGGTTTGTTTATATACAGTCTACAATAATCTTTTTTTTCCCTATATCATCATTTTAGTTTATGATATAAACTACCGTAAAAATAAAATGTTGTATGAAGGATTAAGAGATAATTTGATATGGCTTTAACTTTAAAGTAAAAAAAGGGGTAGTTTGATATTCATTTGAAATAAACTTATAGATAATTAACAACTTGAACGAGTCTAATCTATTTGTTTTTTTTTAATCTGTTTTTTATCTCAAACAAAAAAAACTATATCCTAATATTCGAAGGGTTGGTGTTAAAACGACCCCTGATTATGTATCATCATGATTCATGATATGGGGACTAATGAGAGATTACACACCCCCAAAACTCCTTAATACAGATCACTAATTTCTCCAATTAATTATGGCGTTGGTTAAAAATATATTTTTATTAAATAAAAATGCCACGTGTATCGACAAAAATAAAAAAAGACCAGGCAGGCTTCGTTGAGCTGTCTATATAATACAGAGATGCAATTCTTCATCTTCTCCACACAGACACAATTAA